ATATATATATATATATATATATAGCATTTTTTAAATCTCAGAATCATTGCAGAACTGATTTCTTGAACGATATTCCTTTGCCACAGCTCTAATATTCATCCAGTTTCTCTAGTAGCCCTAGTAGTTCAACTACACAATGAAACATATAATATTTAAAATAAATAAATAAATAAATAAATAAATATGCAGGCTAGCTATAGCATGAAAATAGGTACCTACTATATTAAATGTTAAATGGCTTGCCGTACAGTCGATAAAAATAAGTCTGGGTTAAAGCTCCCTCCGGTGGTATTTTTAGTGACTAGCAGGGAAACAGTTGTATCCACAGGGAGTGAGTAGGTCTAATTAATTTCTGAATGTGTTGTAAAAACATTACTTGGTATAATATAAATGCTTCATTATGTAACATGACCACTTTAATAAAAGATCATATCTATTTCATCTCATGATTTTAATTTTAATTAGAGTTCTAATGTGTTGGAAAATAGCATTACTTGTCAACTTGCTAAGGTTTATATCATGCTGACTTGTGGGAAACCCACTTATCACATTAAGCTAATTCTAAATTCAATTAAGACCACATGATTAAACAATTATTTAGAAACATTTAACTGAACTGAATCAAAAGTGATGGATACACAAGCATTATGTTTATATATTTTTAATTAATTATTTATTTTATTAATTATTATATGTATTTCATGTTTGATGTACATTATTTACTTCTACGTTTTTATTTTTATTGATATATTATGTATTTAAATAAAATAAATTAAAATACAATTCTATTTTATAATTTAATATTTTGATTATTAATATGCAGGCTCAAAACCAACCTATTGAAATGGGTGGACCTTTTTGCAGTTATTCACCTCATTTTCTATTAAATTTTGCATTTTAGTGACATTTTAAGAACTAATCTTTTCTGGATCAGCTTGTCGAATGGTGATCATAACCACACTTTTTTTTGGTGCACCAAAAATATTTCCTACAAGTTTGTCAGTGCTTACCATGCTATTTTACTAAGTATTTATTTACAAATTTAGATATAAACTGTAAGTTAAACCAGTTTCATAAATATTGTTATGAGATTAATATTAGGCGATGCAGTGGCGCAGTAGGTAGTTCTGTCGCCCCACAGCAAGAAGGTCGCTGGTTCTAACCTCAGCTCAATTGGTGTTTCTGTGTGGAGTTTGCATGTTCTCCCTGTGTTCCCTTGGGTATCCTCCGGGTGCTCCGGTTTCCCAGTCCAAAGACATGCGGTACAGGTGAATTGGGTAGGCTAAATTGTCCATTGTGTGTGTGTGTGTGTGTGTGTGTGGATGTTTCCCAGAGATGGATTACGGCTGGAAGGGCATCTGCTGTGTAAAAACATGCTGGCTAAGTTGGCGGTTCATTCCGCTGTGGCGACCCTGGATTAATATAGGGAATAAGCTGACAAGAAAATGAATGAATGAGATTAATATTTAAAAAAATGAATAAATAAATATGAAAAAAATACTTATTTTTGAATACAAATGTATTATCATCAATCATTTAAAAAATGGTAAAAATGTAGTTTATTATAACAAACTGGCCTGGTCATTCAACTTTTCTTAGTCAGAATTTGACTACTAATTATTTACTACTTGAATTATTATTTATTTCTTCTATCAATAATTTTCACAATTTATAATAGCATAGCAGTCCAAAATTGAATAAATGGGTCTATAAAGGGGGATTTTCTGGACCTTTTGGTGGTGGAATTTGTCTTTTGAACCACCCGAACCCCCCTGGCTACTAGCCTTATATGATGAAACACATTTTACAACACTTTACCAAATGTAATCAGGTTGATGTAGTGAGCCTAAATATAAGTTTTATGATTTTAAATATCAGTTAATAAATATGCAAATAAAATACAATCAAATAAAACACAAGAATGAATCTTCTTGCATAAATATTTAAGCAATAAAATTCAAGTTGTGATAAATAAAGAAAATACAATAATTAAATATCCCAAATTTTTAATTTTTTTTTGATATATCATGATAAAAAAGCCTTTATTTCATTAGGCATAATTCATATATAGTTTTTCATTAAGTAATAATGTTCTAACTTATACGTTTTACATTCAAATTGTAGGCTGTAGCATGCTGTTTCACTATTCATTCATTTTAATAAAAACCAGTCACATTCCAAGACCATGCATGTTTTTAGCTCAAATTGCACAGTTCTGTTACCGAGAGACTAGTCATAATGCAGTCTGGTGGAAATGCCTGAGATGTTCTTCTTTGGTTACATCAACATGAAGATGAAGAACTGTTTATGCGAGATAATTGCAGTGCCTCATTTTCCTGGATAACTACATAAATATTTCCTGTCTTATCTTCCGCAGACATGCACCAATAAATCAGCACAGGACGGGTTTCAAAAGAAAATCCACTTTTTAACGTTTATAAACGCGTTAGCAAAACCCATGCTTTCAAAAAACATTACAAGCGGGAGCTATTGAACAGAGATGAAAAGTGAGGATCATTGGAGCAGATGACAGGGTTCATTTACTTCCTGATGGCGAACAGCGATCACATTTGGTGAGTTTGACAGAAATATTTAGCTCTTTCTTCCCACATGCTGTCGCAGAAGTTTTCACCACGCCGAAGTGGAAGACACGTAACGGGAAGTTTTGAGTCCAGTTTCAGGTTTTTACGGGAAGAGGATGCAGATGTTCTGAGGATCCGCCGCGGTTCCATGAGTCCAGAACCGGAGAACAAAGAGGTACAAAGTATGCTTTTCCAAACGAGTGTTTGTGTACATTGAAGCTTTCTGACGCGTTCAAACTTTGTAGCGTGCCTCGCAACGGGAGTGTTTTGAGTGAAGGTGGGCTGTTTTATGAAAGGAAGAGGACTAATTAAAGATGGATGCATGTGTGATATAAACAGTGTGGTGATGATGGGGAAACTGTAAGAAGATGTTAAAGCATTTCGGAAACATTTCGGGACCACAAGCACCTCTGTTACTGTAAAGTACATTCGTTTGAAGCCTTGTGATCATGAGCGACTGTTTACCATTATAGAACAGTTAGCCTATAGCACATATACATTAAGAACTAGGTAAAAAATAGTGATCAAAGACATTTACTCATTTCAAAATGCTTGACTTCCAGGAAATACTCTTGGACCATGGAACCTGCCATCAGTGGTGGAAAGAGTACTTCTTGCCAAAAAAATGTAGTGCAAGTAAAGTATCTGGTGTAAATATTACTCTTAAGTATGAGTAAAAAGTAGACCCTTTAAAAGTAAGAGTAGTGAATATTATGCTGGAAAGGTTGATGCGTTTACATGTAGTTGTACGCGTGTGTGTATGTGTGTGTGTGTGTGTGAACGTACTGTAACACTCTGTAGTGCATTTACAGTAGTTATTGTTTAATGCTGTTTTGGTCATTATACAGTAAACATCCATCATCTTCTCATCAATGGCATTTAGTCTAAACAGTCTCTGGGTCACTGTGTGTAAGCTATCTTTTTGGACACTTTTAATGGTTCCTAACAGTTTGCTGCATGTCTTTAGGTATAGTTCAGTGTGATGCAATTTACTTTCTGTTGTGTAGATTTAGTTTCTAAAGGGATATTATTTCTATGTGCGATTTGATTGGACAGGAATAGCAGGATTGATTTTTCTAATCCCCATAACATTAGACAGGAAATAATAAAATAGTGACTGCAGGTGGAAGGAAATAGTGGAGTAAAAGTACGGACACTCCACTAAAAATGTACTCAAGGTAAAGTAAAAGTACACATTTTAAAAACTACTTAGTAAATTACAATTTCTAAAATAAACTCCTCAATTACAGTAGTTTGAGTATTTGTACTTTGTTACTTTACACCACTGCCTGCCATTAAAGAGATGGTTCATCCAAAATTTTAAAGTATAATTTTTAATGTGCTCTAATATAGGTGACTTTTGTACATTGGAATTCTAATTTTTTTTTAGCTGTAACTGTGGTCTTTGGTATGTCATAAACTGCAACTTTAAGGGCTATTGGCAGTTTGAGAATTCAAAAAACATATACATGCATAACAAAAATTAATACCTGTGATTTCTGGCGAAACAATTACGTGTTTTGAAACGAACCTGAACGTTATTAAATTGAATCCACAGGCTCAGCAAATGGTCTTGAGTGCTTAAGAGTTTGAAGCTTCAGTTTCCTGTCATATAATGACATTTGTTCGGTACAAACACAGATGTTAGATGGGCTGTTTGTTTACAATTTTCTTATGTTGCAGCTTTCACAATTAGTGCAAATACGTTCCATTTTGATTTAAGAGATATACGTTCTCCCTCTACATTCTAAATAAACAGAATCAGCTCACATGTGAGTTAGTTTCAAGTCTGTGGATTAAAGTTTGTTGCACTGATTGATCGTTTGGCATCACATGA